ACTCCGTAACCCGCAATTTGTAATCAAATTGGGGACGGAGGAAGTATTTTATTATACAGTCTATTTATATATTCTTCAATAATGACACTAATATAATTTTATAACGTAAAAATGAGTCGTGCGTGATACTAGTAACATGAATAGAATGAGATCAGAATATTTCAAAACGAGACATCTTGCTAAGCCATACTTTGTACCAAAGGAAGTAAAAAAGAAAATAAGATGAGAAGCAAAGGGGCAAATAGCAAATTAAAATGAAATCAATTCATTTGGCAAGGGCTAAACGACAAATTTTGAACCCCAAGTGGACTAATGGCACATATCCGTGCGAACCGTACCACTGAACCGTATATCCCCAAGAATATATACGCAATAATTTTTTTTTTCCAAAGAAAATTAAAATCAAAGGCGAAATTTTTTTCCTCTCCTAATTTTCCGTATTTCCTTATTCTTTCGAATATTGCGACATTTGTATCCCACCCCCGGAAAATGATCAAAACAGAAACAATTTCATCTTAATTGGAAATCCTAAGATTTGACTTTTCTTGAGGGACCCAATGAACGCCACCGCCCCCTCCGGTCTTCAGCGCTCAGAACGTCACCAACAAATGCCGGGCCCACCGGAATAATCCATACGAGTCCGTCTAAAACGCGCACATTCGCAAGAGTCATAAGATGAATAGAAAACCATGACTATCAATGATGTTGGGTTTCCCCTTTTCTTTTCTTTCCTTTTGAATTGCTTGTAAAGATTAGAGCTTTTTATTTAATGATGGGTGAGATGAAAAAGAGCAAAAGAGAAACCCACCATGACTATCAAGATTGGTCTTTTTTTCTTTTTCTTGAGAATCTTTTGAAGAACAAGACAGTTTTTTGAGAAAGATGTGCTCTCACGGTAAGTGCATTATCAGATCCTCTGTTTATTTCCCCCGAATTCAATGAAATTCTTGGTGGTTTCACGGTTTCTTTATTTTCAAATATATCGTTCTTTAATTTCTGGGGTCTTTCTGTTTATCTTATGCGTTGTGTAATCGTTTTGGGGTGGGTTTATAGGATTCGGAACAAGGTGGTGATGGTTTTTGGCTTGCTTCTGCTGTTTGGTCGGTCCTTGTTTTGATGGATTGGTCTCAGAGTAGAAATCTGATCATTTCTGCAATAGTTATAGATTTAGGATTGTCTCTGCTGTAGCTGTACAGTACTGTTGTTGGATGTAAGAATTTATGGGTTTTTAGTGTTTGGTTTGATGATTGTGGGGAAATCTGTGTTTATGGAACTTATTCTTGAATTGCAAGCTTTATCATCATCATCATCATCATCTGAGGTGAGGAAGGAGAAGAGATTTGTGAGTTTGGTTTGTTAGAAAGGGGTGGAAAAATGGATGAAGAGGCGAGTTCTTGGATCAGGAGAACAAAATTCTCTCAAACTGTTTATCACAGGTTAGATTCATCAAGGCTTGCCTCCTCCTCCATTCCTATCACTATCCATTCACCAGCCAAAATTCTCCAATCATCAACATCTGCAGTTGGTAATTCTAGTACAACCAAACAGCGCGCAGTTTCACCTCTCCCGGAGATGAAACTCCCTGATACCTTCAAGGAAGCTCAATCCAACCAGAAAAGATTCTCAACTCCCCTCCGGACACGCGATAAGGGTGGAGTTGCTGGGGCGAAGTCCCATTCTTTAAAATCTCTGTTGACTTCGAGCCCGAACCGCCCTTTTGCTCTTGTGAAGTTCAATGAGATGATAAAAGGGAGGAAGGAATCGGCATGGATAAAGTGTTTTGATCACAATGGAGGAAGAATTATGTCTGTAGATGCTGTGGATGAACATATGGTTGATCTTTCAGAACTGTTTCTTGGGCTTCGGTTTGCGCATGGAGCACACAGTCAACTTTACCATGGCAAGTACAAGGAAGAACCAGTTGCAGTAAAAATCATAAGGGTCCCGGATGATGATGAAAATGGAGATTTGGGATTTCGGTTGGAGAACCAGTTCATAAGAGAAGTCACTCTATTGTCTCGCCTCCTTCATCAAAACGTTATAAAGGTAATTAATATTGGCAACCATTTGATTACCATTATCTTTACACATATCTTATAAAGAGTGTAATAATCATGTGTTGATGCAGTTTGTAGGTGCATGTAGAAAGCCACGCGTTTTCTGCATTATAACTGAATATCTACCGGAGGGTTCATTCAGAGCATATCTTCACAAGCTTGACCACAAACCTCTGCCTTTACAGAAACTGGTTGATATGGCATTGGACATTTCAAGTGGGATGGAATACATTCATTCGCGGGGAATCATTCATAGGGATCTGAAACCAGAGAACATACTTATCACTGAGGATTTTCAGCTAAAGATTGCTGATTTTGGCATAGCTTGCGAGGAGGCTTACTGTGATCTTCTGGCAGATGACCCTGGCACTTACCGCTGGATGGCTCCTGAGATGATCAAACGCAAGCCGTATGGACGCAAGGTTGATGTCTACAGTTTCGGGCTCATTTTATGGGAAATGCTCACTGGTTTTACCCCTTTTGATGACATGACCTCTGTGCAAGCTGCTTTTGCTGTAGTCAACAAGGTAATAACAAGCCTTTGAACCCTTTCTTTTTCCCCTTCTTCCTACTAGTATAAGATTTATATCTTCTTGCATAGTTTCATTTTTGACCTAATGATATTATCTGTTATAATAAATGTAGAATAAGAGACCGGCCATTCCTATGGACTGCCCTCCATGCCTGAAAGCATTGATCGAGCAATGCTGGTGTCTGCAGCCAGAGAAGAGGCCCGAGTTTTCACAGATTGTGAAGGTCTTAGGGCAGTTTGAGTCTTCACTTGCAAAAGATGGGACTTTAAACCTAGTCCCAAATTCCATGACATTTCAACAAGATCATCATCATAAAAAGGGCCAAGGCCTTCTCCACAGGTTCCAAAGGCTTGGTAGTCCTACACAGTCGTCGAACGCAACACCGCGTTTGGCTAAACCCAGGTTTCCTTGATGGTTATGTAGTAGTTTTTGAATGGTAGGTGTACAACAACAATATATGGTCATAGCAATTTGAGCATGCATGGCTGTAAAATGTCTGCTAGGATAGAGAGCTGCTAGAATTCTAATGTTGTGTCCAATGACTTGCTTGATTCTCTGCACAGGCTGTTTATGGTTGTCTTGCAGTAGATGATGCTATTTGATGTGAATGTAATAAAAGTGATAGTACTTTCTATATACTGCTTGCCTTTGTTCTTTCTCCACTTTATGTGTGATTGGTTTTTTTGGTGGAGAAAATGTTTGGTCCCATTTTAAAGGAGTGAATTGCTTGATTTGAAATGTTTGTGTTGAGTGCAGTTGAAAGATGAATTTCAATTTTTTCCTGAAGTGACTTGGTTTTACTCCCTAGGTCCCAATTGAAAACAGAGAACAAAAGATCTAAAACAACAACATTACCCCAGTGTCTCACTGGCTCCCGCCCATTGCGGGCCCCTATGTTTAAAACATAGAATGACTGTTTCCAGATAATTCATGATGAGCGTCGAAAATTGCATTGGCTAACTGTTACTTCACAATTGCAAGAAGCGTAGACAGATTAAACTAGAAAAATGGAAAACAAAAAAGGAGAAATAGAAACAAAGCACAATGAAAGCAAAAGTCTGAAAACAGAAAGTCCATAATTTCTTTGAAAACATGGGTCCACTTCACGCATAATTCATATCAAGGAATTGAGTATGAGGTGTGCTGAAAGCAACAATGCAAAACTCAAAAAAAAAAAGAAGAGGAGATTTTACATGTTAAATTTCTTTTTAACTTTCTTTTTAACTGATGATTATAATTTTTTTGATACATCGAAAAATAAATGAATGTTGACATATTTTTTTGTCTATGTTTCTAATCTCATTTGCAGTGGTACATATTCCTTGATACTAATAAAAGAAGAAAATACTCCTGCTAGATATACATCATATTTAAATCAAATTTTAAAATTTGAACACAAATAAATCTTGCATAGACCTAATTTGTCTGGGTTTCAATATTGTAATTGTGATATAAATGTGATGTAGGTTTATTGTCGTTATCCAATAAATATACTGTATAAAAATTGGTTTGAAGTTTGGATCCACCTGTCATGGTTTTCCCCTTTGTTCCAGCAGTGTAAATAAAACAATGGTCGAGAGCCATACACCAACCACTTCTCTCCGTGGGCCTTCTGAGCATTTCTTGCCCCCTGTTTTCCTGCCTGTACCATCCATTAATATTATAATTTGACTCCAACGTCTAAATTAACTTATCAGACGCAATTAAAGGGGTTGAAAGGTGTGTTCGGGTCATAGCGGAGTAGGAAGATATACCGAGAGTTAGAGAGAGTAGAAATCGCTAATTTTACGAACGAGTACCGAAATACTCCCGTATCATCTCATGATATGATATTCCAATGTCATGAGAGTATATTTGTTTATAAACATTAAACGATAGAAAATATCAAAATACCCCATATTTGACTGACATTTAATAGACATCGTTGGTAGACCACTATTTAGGGAATAAATCTAAATTATAAAGAATCACACAAACAATTATCACTTATATCAGACTAATTTGAGAAACACCTCATTAGAAAAAGGATCATTGCAAAAATTGACCCTTTTTTTCCTTCTAAATAAACAAATATTACCTTCGTCCTAGTGTATTTGTCCAGTTTGATTTTTTTGAGTCAAACTAAACAAACTTTGAATTCAAATTACTCTCAATTTATATTGCATATTAGCATAATAAAATAGAATTTTAAAAGTTCTCAATATGATAAATCCAATAAAGTCATTTTTATGTTAAAATACACTACAGTATTTATTTAATTAAAGCTTAAAGTTTATCCAGTTTGATTCGAAAAAAAGACGAGCAAAGTCACAAGGAGACTCCAGAGTGGAGAGGGAGAGAGATACAGTGGGCGACCTCCCTCCTCCATTATAATAATAATTCCCTGTATAAGAACATGATGATGCCCACCCACTATAATAAATTCTGGGAAATATCATTCTTTCTTCATACTCCGTTCGTAGTACCCGAGAAATCAAAACAGAAAAAGAGAGATTCAAGCAAAACATTGGATTTGCTGATAGAGATGGCTTCTCTTGTTCTCCTTATATGTGAGCTAATCAAACATGAAAGCCTGGACAATTTGCTTTCATCTTCATCTTCTTCCTTCACCAAATCCTGTGCTGCAATGGTGCCCGCAGCAGCAGCTGGGAAATCTAAAGAATCCATGGGAGCTGCAAAAGAAGGAGAGGATGAGGTGGAAATATCAATAATAATGCCCAAGATTTGTGTTGACTTGCTATGGCCTTGAAAGTGTCTGGTTGAGATTTGATGAGAATATGAATATATATATGTGTGTGTGTGTGTGTCGAATTGAAGTGTCATTTTTCATTAAGATTTTCCGTCCATGATTATATATGGATTTGTGATGTAATATAATTTTGTCCTCGATGATCTCTTTTCTTCTCGATTGGGCATTGTGCAATCGTTTCATTCTCTCAACTTCAAGAAACATTTTTTCCTTAACTGTAACTTTAGAAGATTCCGGTAAAATTTAGTCCGGTAAGAAGTAGAAGAAAATACTCCGTAATTTTTTTTTGTTTTCCTCTCCAAAATTAGGGATAGGTAAACAAACTTAACTAACATGATACCAGATCTAGTTGTAATATTATTAAACCGTTTATTCTATATTTAAATAGATTTATTCTTTAGATCTCGAACTCAAACCAATTCTAAACGAGAATCATGGCCCAAACCGTGATAGTGGTGTTTTATACTCTTTATGTGCCTAAAAAATTGTTTGATTTTTTAGGTCAAATAGTCGCGCTCTTTGACAAGAATTATGGAAAACGTATATTCAACTATAATATAAATTTAGTAAAATTAGATTTATTTTTAAATATAATTTTAATATATCAAAGTTTTATAATACTTAATTATCTTAAACTAAATTTAATTCATTATCAAAAGGTACCACTGTTTGATAAAATTAGTCAAATTGAAGTTATTTTTTAGGGTTATAGAAAGTAGTTAAATTCTTTCACATTTTCTATTGTATGTACTCCTTCAAAGCAATCTACTTTGTAAGGATGCAAGAGGCTATTTACCCCAAATGGTAGATTCTTCCCTAAACCTAAGGTACATTTAATGAATTTTAGTGTATTTCTAACATAAAAGAAGTAAATATTTTCAAAAAAAAATATCCATACGTAAAGCCATGGAAAATATGAAAAGATACATGTAAGCAACACTTTTATGATAGAATTGTCAACTCAAAATTGATCAAAATATTCAAACTATTCAGATTTGGAAGGGGCACCTTACCAAGACTATTCTAGTACTCACTACTTTTTTTAATTAAAAGTAGATATATTTATTAATTTAAAAAGACACATTTCAATAATTAAAAAAGTGAAATACATTTTGTTAATTAAAAAAATAAAAAAAAATCATCTATTGAAAAATGCATTTCATTACTTAAAAAACAAAATACAATTCATCAATAAAAAAATACACAACATAATTTTTTTAAACCAAATAATGACACTGCGCCCTAAGTAAGAGCCCCCTCTTCGAGTCGCACTGCGCCCCTACATTTCAAGCCCAAACTCGGCCCATATGAAAACTTACGGACTTTGGGAAGGCCCAGTCCACTAAACGTATAGGCTAAAGTTTAATTATAAAGTAGAAAATTTTACGGAGTATCTTAAAAAATACTCCGTAGAAAACAAAGCAAAAAAATGTTAACTATCAATTACTTTGTAAAAGCTTAGCAAAAAACATACTACCAATTAGTCTTGGACTCTAAATACTTTCTAAAACTTATTAAAAAATACTCTGTAAAACTTAAGAGTATTGGTAAGAGATAAGTTTGATAGTCAATAAATAAGTATTAGTAAAACACGGCTTTATCGGCATGCTTGAGAGCATCAATTTTATGCATTGGGAATGGAAAAATTATCTCACTGCATGACATGGCCAGTTCTCTCTGAGTGTTCATTTCAATCCTATTGTCATACTCAAAGTTGTGGCTTCTAATTACTTGTGGTTTTGGTATGCGTTTTTTGTGTTGCGGGATTGAACAACGACATCAATGTTTTCGATCAATCACCTATCTTTGACGATTGGATTAATGAGACTGTACCCGATTCATCTTTTGAGCTTAGAACGACACTTTACAAGCGTGGATATTATCTTGTGGATGAAATATATCCAGATTATTCCACGGTTATTAAGTCCCTCTCGAAACTAATAGGCCATAAACGGCAGACCTACAAAAAAGCTCATGAGGCAGCGAGAAAAAATATCGAATGAGCCTTCGGGATGCTGAAGGGTTAGTGACACATTCTATATCCTCCGTCTTAGTGTTAATCTCGAACAAAAATGAGAAAGATCATATACACATGTATTATTTTTCATAACATGATCATAGAGAACAACATGTCTGCAGTTGTCATTACAACCCGGATGAGGAGTTACCTACGTACGAAGAAATTGACAAAGAAAAGAAACGAAGAAACCGTCATAAAATTCAAGACCGAGAGATTCATAATGCACTAAACAGCAGATTTGATTGAAGATAATTTTAGTCGCTTGCATAATGACTAATTTTTTTGTAGTGTAATTATTAAATTTTTTATTTATGTTGTTATTATTTAAATATAATTTTATTAATGTAATTTTTTTATTGAATGCATTTTTTATTTAACAAATTATTATCGTTTAAATTTAATTAATTAATCAAATGTTATTTATTTATTTTTACAAATTAAAACTGATACTGTAGAGAGAATGTTTAAAGTCCCGGCCATTTCTATTGTTCTAACATTTTCGATTAAATAAATAACTGGGTAATAGACTTTCATTTTCGAGGGTCCCTCGAAGTCAATTGTTCCCATTGAAACTCGTTTGACATTTTGGTTACCATTATTATTCCCAACCCCTTCATATACTCACTCTACCACTTGGACTTTCCACGACCTCCGCATCCATTCAATTCCGCCACCGCCTTCCGCCGCCGTCTCCTCCGCGAACCTCCCCGTCGCACTGTTTCTCACGCGCATTAAATGGCGTGAAAGTTCTTTCGTGGAAGACCCAAAATAAATAAATAAAAAAGAAAAAACATTTCTCACCAAACTGAAGAAAGTAAATTTGAACTCTTTGATTTATACTCTTTCTTCTTCCTTCTATACTGTAATTTTCTTCAAATCTCTCGCCTTTTCTCTCTCTAGAGACAGTCCCCATTAATGGAGAACTCAAAAAAAGCTCTTCTAATGGCTTCATCCACTGATTGCCGGAGCACAAACTGTTCCGGCAGCTCAATCACCGGCAATGGCCCCACAATTCCTTCGCCTCCGGGTCAACCCATTACCAGATCCGAACCCGGTAACCTGTACCCGACAACCTTCGTCCAGGCCGACACCTCTTCCTTCAAGCAAGTGGTTCAAAGGCTCACCGGACTCTCCGAGACGACCAAGGTCGGAGCTCCGGCCACCACCCGCAGCCCGATCCCGCCCGTCAAAACCGGATCTAACAAGAAGGAAAAATCCGGGTCGAAGCTGTACGAGAGGAGAAACAGCATGAAGAGCTTCAAAATCAGCCCGTTGGGGCCGGGACTGGGCAACAAATCCGGGTTCGGAGCCGGGCTATTGGGCTCTCCGAGAATCGGAACTCCGGAGATTCTTTCGCCGAGCATGCTCGATTTCCCGTCGCTTGCGCTGAGCCCGGTGACGCCGCTAATACCCGACCCGTTTAACAGGCCGCCGCAGAGAGTGGCGAGTTCCGAGAATTTGAACATGGAAGCGGAGGAGAAGGCGATAGCTAAAAAGGGGTTCTACTTGCACCCGTCGCCGGCGAGTACTCCGAGGGATACGGAGCCCCGGCTGCTGCCCCTCTTTCCGGTCACCTCCCCCAGAATCTCAGGTTCTGGCAATCCTAAATCTTAAGCAACTTTATTTTTTGAAAAAAAAATTGTTTTAATTTTCAGGGGAATTCATTAATTCGATGTATTTGTATGATCTTTATATGTAAACATCTCATTTCTCTTTGAAATTCGAACTGGCTTCTTTGGGAATACCATTAGATATTATAATTAGTGTTTTGAAAAAAAATATTTATCTAAGACAGCATTTAGGATTAGAGTTTTCAAAGTCAATTTGCACCATTAAAATTTTATTCAAAACGCTAACCTTATACTTTAACGTTATTCCCAAACCGGTCATTTATCTTCATCTTCATCATGAGAGTAGTATAAATGTACTTCTAATGTATTGTTGTAACATCAATTTGGGAAAGAAATGTATAAGATCAACCATTAATTTGGTGCAAGTGTATATGCCCTACAAGGACGATTTTATCATGGATCTAAGATTTAAATGACATATTCCTAGCCAAAAACTTTATTGTTGAACGATATAGTAAAATAGTAAATAGTAAAAATGGGCAATGAAGATGTTTAAAGTTTGATCTTTTAAATACTCCCTCCGTCCCGCTCTATTTGTCCACATTTGATTTTTGGATTTGTTCATCTAAGCACTTTGACTCATCAAATTCTCTCAATGTGTAAGCTTAAATATAGTCATGTGTGATCTTGTTTTATTTGTCTTAACATATAAATTATTAATATATAATTTCTATAATTTTTTAATATACAAATTACAAGATAAAATGGATTAAAGAAGTGCATTGGATGATGTGTAAAAATAAAACTAGACAAATACAAGGGGACGGAGGAAGTAATAAATAGACAACTTAAATTAGGATAGACCTAATGTGTTGTAATAGAGTCAATTATATACGGAGTACCAAGTATAAAATGATGAAACCCCATCCTTGATGACCCCTTAATACCAATTGGAGAGTTAGCTGAAAAAAGGTAAATTGAGTCATGGGTCTGTGTGTGTATATATGTGTGTGTGCATAGTGTGTGTCTTTGTACCATTCAAATAGAAAATGAAAAAAAAAACTACTCTGCACAAGAATTTTACCATTCTCTATACTCTAATTCTCTAAATAGGCACCTTTTTTTTTAAGAATATGGTTTATTTTGATGAGTGGAAAGAGGAAGAGTAGAAGGAGGAATATTGACTAATTCGTCCACTTTATGGAAAGAGAAAAAAAAAAGATATAAAGATGATAAGAATCCAATGTTTTGTTTTTGTTGAATTTAGAGTTGGTCTTTTGTTGTCTAATGTAAAGTAGGGGTCTATTATTATAATTATAGTACCCTGCCTAATTTTCCATATATTCTTAAAACACTGCAAATCTGTTAAATGTACTCTACCTGTTTTCACCTTTCACCCCACAATGGTTTCTACTAAGAGGAATTTTAGTGCTCCACTTGTTTTTAGTGGATAAAGAGCTTCAAAGTCACACAGTTGGCAAACATGTGGTCTCAAAGGATAATACTCGATTTCCATTTTTTATAATTTTGTTAAAAGACAATTGTGCTAAACATAGTCTATAAGATCTCTACAAGTATCATGTGCAAGTTATATTCTTTATCATTAATATAAGATCAAAATTCAATTTCTCTCTTCATTGATCGTCCAATTGGTTCAATGGAAAACCTTCAAAAATGAGATTTATCTTTTTTTTTATTATTATAAAGAGCTTCAAAGTAAGAGTGGCTTTCTAATACTCACCAAATAAGGTCATGTGTTATGACGGGCTTGACATACATGGAGTTTGGCGGGGTGCAAAAATGTATGATGTGGAGTGATAAAAATGTATATTATGGTGAGTGTGATTAAAAGTGATGATGCGTGAAGGTATGCTAAATTTTGATTAGTTTTAAATAAAACATTGAAAATAAAAAGAGGGGCAACACCCCGTGGGCATCATCAAGCCTTACTTGTCACGCTCGCGATGTGGCAGTGGTCATACCGTGACGGGGCGTGACCAGTGGCGGACCTAGGAATTTTGGTAAGTGACTTTACATTTTGTGCACAAAAGGAAAATGTTAATATTTGTATAGCAATAAATCTTAAAGGTAAAAAGTATCAATAAATAGCACTCTAAGACTAATATTGTGAGTTCTATGTAATATTTTTGAAATACTGTATAAAAAATATAATATGTTCATTGTTTTAACCAAAAAAACTAAACAACTAAAGTACTAATTCTAGGCATTTCTTCAAATACTAAGTATATTTTAGGAATCTGTTTAAAGCAATTAAACTTGTTTACACATTTCAAAAAAAAATTGAACATTTTATCCTCCCTCCGTCCCACTGTCTTTGTCCACTTTTGACTTTTGAAACTGTTCATCTAAACACTTTGACTCATCAAATTCTCTCAATGTGTAAGCCTAAATGTAGTCATGCGTGATCTTGTTTGATTTGTCTTAACATATACTCCCTCCGTTCTATAAAAGTGTTCCTATTTTGACTTTGTGTAAAAATAAGAAAGTGTTAAATTGTAGTTGACTTCCAATTTTGCCCTTGATGTGATGGGTAAAAGTAAGATGTGATGGATTGAGTATTAGAGAAAAAGTATGATGTGATAGGTAGGATATGAAAAAATAAGGGTAAAAAGTGGTTTTTTAATAGAAAGTGGAAGTATTTTGTTGGAAGTAAAAAAATGAAAGAGGAAGAGTTTTTGAGAACGGAGGGAGTAGATTATTAATATATAATTTCTATAATTTTTTAATATACAAATTACAAGATAAAATGGATTAAAGAAGTGCATTGAATGATGTGCCAAAAGGTAAGTGGACAAAGACAGTGGGACGGAGGGAGTAATTAAGTTTCATTATGAAAGTCAGCATTCCAAATCTAGAGGAATTAAAACAAAAAATTTTACACAACTATAAAATATGTCCTCTGTTCAATTTTCAAAGAGTAACACCTGATCACGTATAAATATACTCTCCTTGGACGCCCTTAGTCTACATATAATATACCTAATTACATATGCTACTACTAATAAATATTTGTTTTTTGGAGTGGGTGCAAGTGATCCCACTTGCACCACCCTAGGTTCGCCCCTGGGTGTGACACCTCCTCCGTGCCCGTGGGTCAAGCCCCATAACACATAGTCTAAGGGCATATACTCCTTTGGTCTCACTTGTTTTTGCTTGATTTATTGGTAAATAGTTTTAAAAATATTGATTTATTAATTCACACAATAATCATTTAGGCCCGCTTGCGACACTTAACCATTCTTTTGATAGAAAGAGGTGATTAACTTATTTTTAGTCAAATGAAAAATAAACAAATAATTTTTTTACTTGGTGAGAAAAGAATACACTTTACTCATTTTTATTGAATATGTTTACATTCTTTAAATATATTTTTTCGTTTATATTTTTCAACCAAATTAGACAAAAATTATTATCAATAGATAAGAATTGCATTACATATTAATAATAAAATGTTTGTTTTGAAAAATAATCTTACAAAATTATTTTTATAATCCACGCTAAATGAATACTATAATTTTTATTTAATTATTGATTAACTTTATAAGTTGTTGTATAAAAATTTTCACAAACATATGCATTCTTTTTTAAAAGAATACCCCTTCTATTTCATTTTAATTATTTTTTATTGTTTATGAGGTCAGACTAAAATTATTTTTAATTCACTTTCTGAAAGTTGGTGCAGAATTAAAAAATAAAATTTATATAGAGTATATTTAAAAACTACATCAAAAGTTCTATAAAATTATAGGTGACATGACTATATTATTTTATCAAATGAATAGCAAAAATAAGTAGAGAAAATGGTTCAAGGTTGATTCTGTAAGTAGTAAGCAAACAACTTAAATTGAGATGGATGAGTATGTAGTGTAAGAAACTAGAATTTAGTTTTCTTTTTTATTTTTGATTTTCTATAAAAATTATTTATTTTTCTTTTTTCTTGTTTAGGAATTCATATAATTTATTTTTCTTAATTTGTAGAATTTTTACTAATTGCGAACTCTTTTTGAATTATCTCATTTTATTACTTAAATGTCTAAAATTCCAATATCTCAAATTCCCACCTTATATAGAACTATGACATACTCCATATGTTTTATGTTTAGATTATACTCTGTATATGACCGGTTTTTAAGTTGACAGTTAGAAAAAAATAAGAATTCAGGGTTAAAGAAAATAATTGTGTACATGATATATATTATTCGAAACATGCAAGTTAAATATAATTAAAAATATGGGTAATTTTGAAGTATACATATGGACATACATATGTCTTTTTGTTTTTCTAATTGATGCTTTAGGTGCACTCCTGCTTGTGTTTTTTCATATTTTAACACTTCTATGCACTCAAACTCTAATGTGCTTTCCCATTATGTGATCTAGATCAGAATATAATCTTAATTTTTAATGTCAAAAGAACTATTTTAAAATATTATCTTCGTCTGAGTGTATTTATTTAGTTTGATTTTTTTCAAGTCAAGGACAAAATTTGAGTTTTAGTTATTCTCAATTTATGTTACATATTACTTCCTCAGTCTTATAAAATATTTCTATTTTGATTGTTAAAGGATTTAAGGAGAGTATATTTTGATGTTGATTATCCATAAATATCCTTGGATGTGACGAGTAAAAAAAAGTTGTGATTAATTGATTAATAGCAAAAAGTGTGATGTAATAAGTACATTAAGAATTGGTATAGGTAAAAATGAATTTTAATGTAAATTTGAAAGGTTTTTTAAGCGGATGAAAAAAAAGAAAACATAAAGGTTTTGTGGGACTAAGGGAGTAGTACAATGAAATAAAGTTTTAAAATATTTCAATAACATAAATTTAATGAAATCATTTTTATACTAATATACTCCGTACATAATAGTTTTTGTTTAATTAAAGCTTAAAATTCATGGTGAAAAAATCAAACACAACAAATGTAGTAGTAAATAAACTGTTTAACGAGTGCAATTCAGTGACAGTGTGGACCGTAAATGGAGTGCCAAGTCCGTCAATAGACAATAGAAAATGTAAACACATACGAATATGTCAAAAGGTGGGTCCCGTTGAGAGGTTGGGGTCCACCAGGTTAAGACCAAAACGCAATCCTGCGCATACAGAGTCCAGTGAACTTGCCATGACATTGGTTCCCAATGTCATGGGGAACCAATGTCATGGGAACCAAGGGGGCTAAATATATACTCACCTTTCTAATCTGATTACAAATTAGAATTTATGGGATAAAATTTCATTTTTTTAAAATTATTGTATTTTTTGAAATTATTTTATTTGTAAATTTTTATATCAACAAAAAATAAAATTATATATTAAAAAATTACGGTAAAATATTTATTAAATAATTGCTGGAAAGAATATTTTATTTTATCAAATAATTAATGAAAAATATACAAAAAAAAAAGAAATTTTCGAGTGTGAGAAAAAAAAATTGTAATCAAAAGAGAAAAAAAAGGAATAATGGCAGTTTCTTCTACCATCATCTCTGTACATATTTTTTGTATGTGGTGTTGCTGTCAAAAGAGGGGAGTGTGACTTTTTTGATGATGAAAGGCGTGAAAAAAGAAAAAAATAAATAAAAAAAGCTCTCAAATTCTTGCAAATGAGAAGGAATCCACGTTCCATATGTGACTTTAGTTTTGTCTAGGACTCATTAGTGGGCCCAGCTGCCCGCCGAACTCACAATAACAACTAAACGCAAAGCGCTTAAAATAGCTACACTAAAAAAAGCCTTTTTTTAGGGTGGGAAAAAAGGGTGATGTTAAAAATAACTGGAAATATTAGAATAAATTGAAAAAACTAAAAAAATTAGAAAAAATGGGAAGTGCTTCAAAATTTTATTTAAGTGCATTTTATATATTATTCTTATTATATTTGTTATTGTTATTGTTATTGTTGTAATTATTATTATTATAGGTAAAGAAAGTGAATACAAATTAACCACATGAATAGTCTACATGTCATTTAATTAGGGACATGAGAAGTAGTATAATTAATTTTTTTAATTTAAAATATAGATGTTTTTTCCAAATCAATTTAGATGAACAAAATATCACTTTTTTTAGTTTAAAAAGTGACATGGGATAAAATAAAATTTGAAGAATAAAAAAATAAACTATAGTTATGAACTTAATAAAAATAATAATTATTATTATAATATTTGAAAACCACATCTTCTGACTTCTAAGAGTCATTATTTAGGAAGTAGAGAAAGATTGGAGAAAATATGAATATTTGGAAAAACTTGGAAAACAAGAAAAAAACTAAAATAAACTAAAAAAATTGGAAGGAATTGAAAAAAATTAGAAGAAGCTGGAAGTTAAAAATTTAAATTCTAAAGAACATACTCTAAGACTATCGATAGTGCTCCACCAACACTCACTCCAAATTAGTAGCCACTCAGCACAGATCAACAGTGACAACACTCACCATCTCACTTACTTTACACCTGTAGCGATTACAATTTTATTTTTATTTTTTTAAATATTTATCTATTTCTATCCAAAAAAAATTCCATCTTTCATAAATTAATAATATAAATTAATTAAATTTATTTTCGAGTTTATTTTATTTTTATTTCGTTATTAATTTCTTTTCCCGTTTTGGATTGATTTTTTTCAATCTTTTTATCATTACAATTAAAAATAGAGCCTGTTATTTAGAGCGTAAATTCTTAACTTCTAGTTTTTTCAAACTTTTATAGTTTTTTCAGTGAAAAAGATTAAAGTAGGAGTAAAATATTAAAAATATATCAAAGCACAAGTTTAATGTTTTTTATTCCTAAAATAAGACTCAAAGCACACATTTACAGTGCCAATAATGACCATATACATTATCATAAAATATCATGAAAAGCTCATATACAGTGACACATTACAACAATGGTAATAAAAACATAGAACTTCTATTTTGGTAATTTCTCAATGTTTTACGCCTACTTATGGTGATTTCTTTTTTTTTCCACATCCTTCCGGAGTTTATAGGTTCTTTCAGTTTTTTACATGTTTTTTCTAATTTTTTCTAGTTTCTTCTCGTTTTTCCAGCTATACCCAATTTTACAATCTTTTTCTGCTCCCAAATAATAATTCTAAGAATAAATTATTTTTTAGGTTTTGTTGTTGTTGTTATTATTATTATTATTATTATAACTATAGTTTAGAAATTATTTTAATTTTCTTTTTTATTTTTCCCATATCGCTATTTTGTGTTTCACACTCATTATTATTTTCTCTCTCATTTTTCAATATAAATAATACGAAGTGCATTTTTATTGGGATTTTTTTTAAATATACATAACACTAAACTATGTTCTAAAAATTATGGATATTTTATTTATCTAAATTAAACTAAGAAATACACCAATAGTTTAAATTAAAAAATAATAATTATACTACTCTTTTTGTCCCAAATCACGTGGTCAAATCCTATTGAATTTATTCATTTTTTATTTACCCATTATGAATATAATAATTATTATTATTATCAAAATACTATTTGAAATACATTTAAATAAATCTTTCTAATTTTTTTCTAGTTTATTCCAGTTTCTTCTTGAATTTTTATTTTCTTTCAATTTTTCTAGTTTCTTCCAACATCCAACTATTTTTTTAGCCCTTAAGAACAAACTCTAACTTAATCTCTTCAACTTATTCTTAATTTCTTATTACTTATGTAGTATTACTTATTATTCATTTAGACCAGACCAGGTTAAAAACGGCTTAAAATATAATTATAATCATATCAGACCAGATTAGATCAAACCGATTCAAATGGTCCTTCCCAGAATTGGGAAGGGAGCATTTGAATCGGTTATTAGCTAATAACCGATTCAAAAGCCCCTTTCCCATTTCTGGGAAGGACCATTTGAATATCAACATTTACAAACTAAGCTATAACACCACAACTAAGAGTCAAACAATAAATAAACTACACTTTTCTAACATACAACCAATACTGCACAATATAACACAAAACTTACACTAGTTCATCGAGAAAATCCGCTCGCCAAAACTCTCTAACCTCGTCTACTTCGGTTACGGTATAAGGAGAAGTAGATTGAAACACCTACAATACAAAAACAACATACAACATAAAGTTCAATAATCTGCGAAAAAGAATATGATGATGAACACTTCATTAGTTTCAAAAGCACACTAAAATAAACTTACATCGTATAACGGGAAAGAACACTGAGCACACAAAGTGACGATGAGCCATAAAAATCGCATCGTATAATATCCACACTCAACCCCCCTGGTTGTTGGGGTACTCCGGGAACATTAATCCAATCTGGTCAAGCCTTAAGCCGAGGCATGTGCCGTTCCCGAAGTAACCGCCAAGACCTTTAATACATGTAAAAAACAAATCAATAAGAAATAAATTTCTTAACAAATAAAGAATTTCATTAATAAGAAATAAATTTCTTAATACTTACTTGTTGACGAAAGTCTTCACTTTCATTTGCTTATGCCCTCCGATCGCCTTGATTGAGTTCAAGAAATACACTTTGTTTTCAAACGTATTACAACTAACACCCAATGACGCCTACAATTGAAAAAGCGTTAATGATTAACTTCATAATCAATATAAAAAACCGAAATACATATTGGAAATGGTTTAGAATACATACGATTTCAAAAGATATAATGACATAAGTATCCAGGGACCAGGGTCGCGATTGATAGGACTCGAGTGCTTTATCCAGATACTGGCGATCTCCATAATCTACCACGTACGCCATATGAATCCAACTTCGATTCGTCATATGAATTTCTAAACAAGAAAGAAGGGCAAAGGATTGATACAAAATAATGCACAATAAAATTATTAACACTCATTATTTATATGTACACAAACATATAAGAAATACAGGCAACACAATATCTTATTTCTTATGATGTAACAAAAATCTGGCAGCACTTCTTCATTATTCAAATGGTCCTTCTTTATTCCATCCTAACCCATTCTTGAAATGTCACCCTCACTAGTAAGTGTATTTCATTCTCTTTGATCTATCAAAATTTTGGCAGCATTTCCCAATGGTTCTCAATGTGCATGATGTAATGTAGTTACATATGCACCTGAAGAACACATTTAGGAAACTTCAAACCAAAAATTGACAGAACAAAGAGAAAGAAATACATTCACTACCTAAGTGAGAGAAGTATTTCAAGAACAACTCTAAATTAAAAGCTATTTAAAATTTACTCCTAATGAGTAAATTTTAAACGGGTATCTATGTCGGTCAATATATGTTATTTCTATATTATAACATCTCAGATCATGTAGAATCAAAGAAAAAGTAATTAAACAATCTATATTTCAAACGCAATCTATATCACAATGTCACATTTCAACTTAAACATAAACACAAAAGAAATTCAAACGAATAGTAAATTAAAGAAAATACATTGAAATAAATTTAAAATCATATTATCCACTTGGAAAAAATATTCACCTAATACAAAAATATATAGATAAATAATAGTATAATAAAATATTTAAAGTGAAAAATTAAAGAAAATACCTTAAAGGAGGCGAGCAAGGCACGGTAAGGGTAGAGGAGGTGAGGGAAAACGACGCAAACACGGGTGCAGGGCATGGGGCGGGGCTATGCAATGGGGCGACAACAAGCACGGTGACGACGAGGCTAGGAGTTGGCGACGGCGAGGCTGGAATTGACGACGACGAGGCAATGGCAAAGGAGACGGCGAGGTGGAAGACGGCGCCAGCGACAATGAGGCGGAAGACGGCGAGGAGTTGGGCAATGGCAACGACGAGGCTAAGAGCACGACAACAATGATGAGTACAACAAGCACAACGAAGAAGGGTTTGGAGGTTTTTTTTTTCAAAATCACGTAAGGATAAGGTTTTGGAAGCTATGTTTAATAGCCTCATTTGAATAGGTTATTCCTAATAACCGATTCAAAAGGTTATTTAAATCGGTTATTAGGAATAACTAGACCCGATCACTAGGCCGGGTATCCGACCCGCCCGCAAAATAGCAGGCTTGGGCCTTATACTTTAATTATAATAAAATACTACGTAACAATAACAACAACAACAACAACAATAATAATAAAGAACAAACCTATTTCAAATTATTATAAACACACACATATACTTTTATGGACATAAAAAATAAACTATAAGTTTATATAATAAAATGAATACATCTTTACTACTCCATATTGTTTGCAACGTATCGCACATTGATTATGACATTTCAATAGATAATATTTTCTACTCCATGCATAGTAGCAATATCAAACAAAATATATTTATATATTAATTTTACTTTCATTACTCATATTAGTTTTTGTATCAAATATCTAATATATTAACTTGTTACTTTATTTTTTTTAAAAAAATTATTTTTTAAATTATTTAGAAGTTTTTGTTGGTTGGGCCGGGCCGGCCCGAAGCCCGTGGGTAACCATGCGGGCCGGGCTCGGGCTTCAATTGTTAGGCCTGTTATACGGGCCGGGCCGGGCTCGGGCCTAGGAAATTCTCGTAAAGTAAAGTCTCGGTCCGGCCTGAAACCCGGCCCGGTCCGCACTTTGATCAGGTCTAGGAATAACCGATTCAAATGCTTATTAGCTTTTTGAATCGGTTATTCCTAATAACCAATTCAAAAGATTATTTGAATCACTTACAAATGAACTCTCATTCCCTTAAAGCTTTTCTAACAGGTTGACCACTTGCAAATGAACTCTCATTCCCTTAATTTTTTTTGAGCGCCAACACCTGAAGGACCACGAGCTGCTGGGTATGGATTTCTAGACGAGCAATCGTGTTAAACGGGGCACAGCCCGTTGGATACATACTCCATACAGACAACTGGGCTAAAGACTAACGAGCCGCTAGGAATGAACGTCTAGACGGACACCTTGACAAACGAGGTGGGCCAAAACCTGCTCCGATACCATGATCGAATTTAGGATTGAGTATGGAGGACTGGATTGGGCAATAAGACACTTGGACTGAACCACATTAAAAGATTGAATCCAATCGATTAGTTAGTTTAACTCAAGAACTTATATACCGGATTATTTTACTCTTGGACTTCCGATGTGAGATGCACTCTAACATAAATAGTAAAAATAAATTTATGTAATATGGAGTATATAATATCTAGAAAAATCTATGTGGGGTTGTGGAAAGGTAGGGGTACATGATAAGATTTGTGGACTTGTGTCCTAGAGGTTGGCGTCGTTGATTGCAAGTTCAAGAGTTGCATGTGTCTTGTTTTCTAAAAATTGGATGTTCATTTCCTCGTACATTTGATCCCATCTACCATTGTTGACTACATCTTTTTTATTTTGGATTTTAATCTTAGTGGATTTTAACCCAATAACCATAGAAGTACGAAGAACGATAACAAGAATAATAATAGTATAATTTTTGAAATAATGAGCACAATAAAGTTTGTATTAGCTTAATCCTGCTTGAATTTACAATGAAGGTTTTACCCTCTATTTATAGTTTACATATTACGACATACATCGCATTTAATCGTTTTCTGAGTTTCCCGTCGCGATTGATCCGAAGTACTCAATTATAGACGGAGAGTTAATCATCGATCGCCCACGATCTGTGGCATTGACTACTCCCTCGCCAGCTCATCCAGGCCCGGACCCAATCTCTCATACACTTTCTTCGGCCCACTTTCTACCAAAGACACGATCACCTGTTGGACCGATCTCTACATTAAATGGGCCCAATATCCATCACTTTGTTTACAAGTGCTAGCTTAGCTTGTTTCTCTTTCATTATTTTCTTATATTATGTCCGTTAATCAATAGCTTTCGCGTTTAATACTGTTATTTTGAAAAGATATTCGAGGACCTCAATCTTATTAGTTGAAAAGAGTACATTTATTAAACTATTAGGTTTACCTCACTTTTTTTTCTTGATCACATTTTCTTTCGAAATTATTTTGCCCTATTTTTTTCTGTAATTACGTACCAACACAAATATGGTTCCTAACTTCCTATTGTCCAAAAAGAGCACAACATGAGCTTTTTTTCAAATAATTTTAAATTTGTAGATTAATTTTTATATTAAAACAAAATACACCGTACAATAATTCAAAGATTTTCGTTCCCCTTAAGTACAAATTCTGATTATGAAGCCCTCTACAGAAATAACTTTTTTGCCCATAGAAGTTTCAATATTATTGAGCAACAAAAAACAACAATATATAATATCATAAAACTAGTCATATTTATTTTGGTGAACACCCAAAAAATATAATATAGTCCATACTAGCTCCATAGATACTTTGATTAGAAAAGTAAATGTGAACTTTTCCACAATTTCATTTTCAAAATTTCTTTTTTATTCTTTTGCAGATTGGAAAATTCTATAGCAAGAAAGTGAACATATGGTCACTACTTGACCATACTGTGTTTGGAACTTCGGATTGTAGCTTTAGCGCAGGCATAATGGGGTGGGCAAGATCATGCAAAGTAAACCACATATATATATACCTTAAACTTAATTCCCAGCAAGTCTGTGATATGGAACTGGAGAATTGAAAACAGAACTGAAGGTTGGGGGATTTACATACTTTGGCAATAATAACTGAAGAAAAGTATTTAATTAAGTATATTCTTAAGTAGAAACATCACAAGTGGAACCGAACACTTGACAAATGACTTAAGCAGCACCAGAGTGACTCACTCTTCAAGCAGCTTGACATTTCAGGCGCTTCACATACTGCAGGATTGGCTCTTTCACCTGTAAATGCAGCTAATCTCAATACAGATGGAAAAAAAAATTGTGATCTCATTTTCCTTTCTATTTCCAGACTAAAGCCAAATATAAGAAATTAACCTTCCTTGGTACTTTATCCATATTTCCCTACAATTTTCTGAGAACCAAACAAACTCCAAATCGTAGTATAACCGTTCTTATTTAACAAGAAAAAGTAAGAGCATATATACCGTGCTTGCTTTCCGGGAAAGTTTGTCCTGGCTGGACCTGCTGCAGATAACATTGTCAAGCTCATCACAGTTGTTGGTGGAGTTTTTGTTAGTAGCTCTCCCATTCTCATCACGTCCAGGCACAAAACTCTCTCTTGAAGCTAGTGGCTGTTAAATCACAATGCTGGGAATTATGCTGTGGAATCGTCGATGGAAGAGAAAGAAGAAGGAAGTTTGTGGACAATCAGATGCAGGGAACAATACAACAAGACAAACCTCAACACAGCTTGTGGGAGTGCCACCAAGATCCTTCCTCTTATACATGGTCTGATCACTCCTTGTAGAGTCATTCCGGTATGCATCAGACTTCCCTTTTGTTCTGGTGACATCGGATCCAATTGAGTGGAGACCACCGCAAGTGGACAGGTCCTTGTGGTCGTTGTCTGCAAATGTACTATGGTGTTAGTGTGCTATGGAATGATATGATGAATGCGTACCACTTGAAATGTTGAAACTTACCTGATTTATGAATTTCCACATCCTGAAAATAAACATCAATTGAAAGGATCAAATTACGAAAGTGAAAAGTATCCAGGAGAAGGGGCATTCATGAGTTAGAGAGTTAATTACCATGAAATCCTTCTCCAAGGCTTTCTTTACTTCATTCAATTTCTTTTCAGTCAGATCTGAGTGGATCACACGCTTGCCTAGAGAAAAAAAGGATCAAAGCGAACGATGCCAATATACCCTCATCGAAATAGACTACAGAATGTAATTTCCCGCTTCATACGTACCAAGTCTGCGATTGCTTTTAGCTTCGACAAAGCCATCTCGGGTCATCTTATCAAGCAGTTTGCGAACTGTAGGCTGACTGGCTTGTCCTTCAAGTTTGCTCTGAAGCTTTGAAACTGTTACATAGTTCATGGGAAGTGCATGGTATAAAGCCTGAAATGAAAATGCCAGAAAACTAAATAGGGAATTCCCAGGGGGAAAAAGGTCAGATGCTAGTGATGAATACAACTTCACACCAGCCAATTTAAGCTGGTAAAATTTATGCCATATGTAGAGCTGATTAAAATAGAAAAATACAGAGGACAGCTATGAGCTTAGATGTGAGAGAAAAAGAATAGCACCTTCATGTACATGTAATCTGCACCCATGCCATTTTGAGCACTGTGGCTTTTTGGCCCCATTTGGCAGTCAGCTTCTTCTTTCACGGCATCAAAATCATAATCGAATTTCTGATATCAGAATTTGTTACAATTAGACATGTAAATTATGAATGAACAAGGGGGAAAAAGCAATTAAAAAAAACCTTTTGCTTGTTAATGTTGAAAGTATCTACATCAGTCTTTGACAGAGTACCTTCCTTGACAAGCTTTTCCATAATTTCTGAAGCCAGTAAAACAATTAAAAACTATAAATTTAGAACTTAAATTAACAAACAAGGTTCATTCGTCGCTATCCATCTTAATCAGGATGTCCTCAGTTACCTTCAACCACGGCCTGCAAATCATTTGAAAATGTTATGCAAAGTAAGCAAATTGTATTAAAGCCTGTCTATAAATCCTCAAAAGGAACAGAATAAACTAATAAGGTGCATAAAAGAGGTTTTACCACTGAGACGTCAGGAAAATTGGAGAGAACATCAATTAGTTCAATCTTATCAAGGTGGTAAGCACTGATCCATTCCTTGACCCGCCCAAGTTGGTGCTCATCCTCTGTTGGGTCCTGTGTATCATCTGAACATCCAAAACAACACACTTGTTTTTTTTCAATATTGGAATTTGTTAGTATTCTTCACACGATTTTCATTCTAGAAAAGGAGTACCTTGATCAAGCATAGGCGCATCCTGTGGCTTTTCTTTATCTGTTCATAAAAAAGAAGTGTTAATTGGAATGATGAAGTCAGAATATTTCGAGAGTTAACAAGTGTGCTGAAGAGCCAAGACAGAATCTTACCTCTTGGGGCAGCTATATATTGATCGTCATCAGACTGACTGGACTGAAATTCATTATCATATCACAAAATTTTAGTACATCTGGAGAATCAAGTGGACATGATAAATGAAATTTCAAATGGCTATTATAACCCAGTTGGGAAGATTTTAACCTCACTATCAAAGTCACTGCCATCTTTCTGGGCAGAGTCAGCTCCTAAGCTCACATTATCACTATGATTGTCATCATTATCATCTTCACATGGGTCAAGGACACTCTTGACCTGTCCAAGTAACCATGGATAAGGAAATAATTATTTAGCATCAAGTTAATCAAGTTATCTCCTTCCTACAACCCAGACCTCTTACCTTGAGAGATAGTACAAAATGTTTACTGTTTACATTTCCAACCTCCATTTTGAGAGGACTTTTAGTCCATGGGTTAAGGGCTTCCTCTTCTTTGCAGCCTCTGAAGAAAGGAGGCTCGTAATCAGCAGGCTGGAAAAGCATAAAATTCTGCTGTCAATACTCAATACCAATAGTGACTGTGTTGTTTCCTACAAAAATGACTGATGTAAGTATCTGTATGCACATGCACAAAAGTAAAAGAACATTGCATTCAAGATGTGAATTCTGAATTACCACTAAAGCATTTTCCATTTCTCCAAAGTCCATACTGTAGGAAACTTTTGTTCACAAAATACCCAAAAAAACAAAATCATATATTGCAGAATGTAGGCTCCCAGCAGCCGTAATAGAAGTAGTAACAGTAATGTATGCCAAGGCAATGCAGGCACTTCTAAAGTTTCATTACAATTTGTTTCTTGAACCATGTAAACTTACCAAATCTTTCATAATTAAATTTGAATACAAAGGTGCAGTTAGCTAGTATTAAACCTATTAACTGTGCAACACATACCGTAATATCATCATAATAAAGGAGCTTCATCAGTATAGTTCTCTGGAATGCAAAAGAAGAAAAAGGAACCGTGTATCAAGTTTAGTGTCAAAAGCTTAAAAATATGCAATCGATGGAAAGTCCTTAACTAGGAACTGTTTCTTACCTCTTCTGGCATTTGATCTAGAGTTCTCATCAGTTGAACCAGTGTACGGACCATCTTACAAGCAGAGTTCCTAATAGATAAGATAATTCAGATATAAGGAATGGTTTTTCAAATGCAAAAATTTACAGAGATGAACTCAACAGATAAACAAGAACAAATTAGAAATACTTAACCACCTCATCTGGTTAGGAGTTATCTCGTTTTCTGAGTTACATTTGAACGTTCCTTGCTTCTTTGTTCCAGTTCGGTTCACATTCATCATAACTTCTTCACTATCAGAACTTGAATAGCTGAAGGAGACTGCAGCAAAATGCTAAATTAGGTAGTGATCAAAAGCAATAACATCCTTTCATGAAAGTTGCTTAGCATCTTTGTGACATTTTTGGGTCTATTTATTCAAGACATATCAATCAGATAATAATTTAAGACCCAAGAGATTCAATCGAAGAAAAAACTGAAAGAAATATACTGTAAATGCTGGTGAGTACAAGTTACTCTATTTTGTCATCAACCCAAACTGAACTCTTTCATATCTAAAATCATGGCTAGTTTCATCCAAAATTCAAAACATCATTCTCTACTCTTATGTAACAAACAACAACTACTTGAAATCTTACAAGCATATTCTTCAATCATGGGTCCATCTATTGTTTCACACACAGAGAACAAGAGTGTTCTTAGGTATTTCTTCTGCAATGCATCGTAAACTCCTGCAATCATGAACCACCACTAATGAATAACAAGACAAAGAAGATAGCCCCTAAATGAGGGGATTGCAGATAAACTGGGGGAAAATCCAACATGCCTTTCTCCATCCAATCAAGCAGTCTGCGTGACTCAGCATCCATTGGCATGAGCTTCTTAATCTTCATTTCTATTTGTTAGTAGGATGAAAAAGAAGTGAAGGACTTTGAAACTAACGCCATTCTGCTAATGCAACAATGTTATACAGCAACTCACCTAAGGCTGGAACAGACTTATCACTGAAATACTTCTCAGGGAAAAGACCACGGATGTAGCTGATATTAAATATTGCTATCCTCAGCAGATTCCTTGTCTGTTTTATTATTAAAAAAATTGCAGAAAATAAAATCTCAGAGAGGAGCTCATAAATCTTGCATGTTTTACACTCAATTTCAGACATTACTAATATAGGTTCTCTTTCTGGAAATCAGACGAGTGTATAAAGCTCGCTCTAAGTATTCAGTAATCATCAAACACATCAAGTAAAATCATGTCTGGCTTTCAACTATAACTCGTAAGTGTCATCCGTGAATTTCTACAACAACATATAGAGTAAACTTTTCTTTCGAGTTTCGAACCAGCAACATGCCAACATCGGTACCAATGCAACAAACAGTTCTGAGTAAACTACAGACAATAGCCTATTAGCAGAATTTGAATACCTTTCCACTATGAAAATAAATAAAAACAAAATCAAACAAAATTGAAGCGGAAATTAGAAAACATAGAAGACCTGGCTTCACAATGAGGCGTTCATCTACAAGCCTACTGATAATACTTAAATAGAAACAATCCAAGGTAACAGGCGAATCTAATACTCGGTATATGAGATGATAGTGTCCATTCAGTCGGAAATTGAGCAAATGCATTATACAAAAACTAATCGATAAACAATATGATAATCCAAAATGATGTATGGACGAGCAAATTCAAAAACAAAAAAAACTATAGAAAAAAAACATTGAGCTGAAATTGAAAATCGGAATGAGATAATTACGAGAAGCAGCGAGTCCTGCTCTGTGATCTCAGCTTCCTTCAACTTCTGCGAGACCACCTGAACGATTTGAGCGAATCAAAATTGAAATTAAGATGAGAGCAATCGGATTAGGCCAAAACAGCAACACGAATTCATACATGAATCGCGATTTACTCACCATTTTCAGTGAACTTCACCGGAGTTGGAACGATGCAGTTGTTAGAGAGAGAGAGAGAGAGAGAGAGAGAGAGAGAGAGAGAGAGAGAGAGAGAGAGAGAGATTGAACGATATTTTCAAATGAATTCTCTAACAGCTGAGGTGAAAGTGGGAATCTAAAAGCAGGAGAGTGGGCTTAAATATAGAGCGAGCGAGCGAAATGCGGAGATGTGTAACCAACTAACCCATGCGTCCTTCGTCTGCTCCGTTCTACCAAAAATATTCCCGCGCGAATTTGGTGCCCAGAGCCCAAACGAGACACTAATTATGAGCAGGAAGCCAGGAAGAGGCTACAGAAGTGTGTAGAAGGAAGCGTAAAACGTGAGAATAATTTTTTTTTAAAAAAAAGAAAGGATTGTAATACTTAGAGAATTAAAAATAAACAAATACAACATTAAATTACAAAATACCTTTTGACCCGATCGGGTGGCTTTGACAACTCGGTTCCTCGCCCGATCCATGGGAGAAGTCGTCTCCTGTGGCGTTGAGGTCGATGGAATGTCCGCCTCCACTCGTCGAGTACAGACCAGTCTCGGAGGGTTTGGAAGTTGGAACGCTTCAGTCTCGATCCTCCGGCCTCAGCCCCGATGCTGAATTTGGAGCTCCTTTGAAGAAGTTTCCAGATTCCTGGAACTTGAAAACTCATTTCTCCGATTCATAATAAAGGTCCAACGTCTTCGACATAATATTTTCAGCAGAGCGGCCACTTTTATATTTCGTTCTTTTCAGTTCCCTTGGGTCTATATTGATTTTCTTAATATAATACGAATAATAATAAAAAGGAAAAATTACCCAAAATAATCCCAACTTTACCCGGTCTTTCAAAAATAATCCCACCTTTCACTGTGATGCATAATAATCCCAACTTTACTGAAATTTGTCAGTTTTGGGTCGTCGTTAAATTTCTAACGGAGGGTTAACGGAAATGCTCATTTTAGACAACAAAATGAAAGTTGGGATTATTTTTGATGAATTTTTATTTTTTTATTTTTTTTAAATTTTTCATTTAAATTTTTTAAATTACTTTCTACCTCCATCGTCATTTCTTTTTCCTTTTTTAAAGATTAGTCTTTGTTTAAAAAATAAAAATAATAGATATAAAAAATGAAAAAATGAGAAATGATACAAAAATAATAAAACAAATAAGGTAATCAATGGAAACTAACTTGAAATTGGTAAAAGTAAAATAAAAATATACGGGTGGGTTTTAATATTTTACGCATTATACAAAGTATTAATATATCACTTCTTATTTTTTAGAAAAAATTATCTAAAATAATTCCAACTTTACCGGACGGCTTGATCTTTTAAAAAATAAGTACTCCCTCCGTCTCGCTATATTCGTCCACTTTTGACTTTTGGAACTGTTCATCTAAGCACTTTGACTCATCAAATTCTCTCAATGTGTAAGCCTAAATATAGTCATGTGTGATTTTTTTGATTTGTCTTAGCATATAGATTATTAATATATAATTTTTATAATTATTTAATATACAAATTACAAGATAAAATGAATTTAAAAAGTGTACTGGATGGTGTGTAAAAATGAAAGTGGACAAATACTCTGGGACGGAAGAAGTAGTACATTAAGACTCCGTATAGTGTGTAAAATGTTAAAACCCACCACTCCGTATATATTTATTTTATTTCTTACTAGTTTCTGTTTAATTTTCTATTGATTACATTATTTATTTGATTAATTTTGTATGGTTTTAGTTATTTTTCTCATTTTCATTATTTTTTATATCTATTTTTTTCTAAGGTAAGAATAATCTTTAAAAAAGAAAAAGAAATTGAGGTTGAAAGTAATTCAAAAATTTTAAATAAAAATTTCAAAAAAAATTAAAAAACAAAAATTCATCAAAAATAATCCAACTTTCATTTTGTTGCCTAAAACAGACATTTTCGTTAACCCTCCGTTAGAAACTTAACGGCGACCCAAAACTGGCAAATTTCAATAAAGTTGGGATTATTATGCATCACAGTGAAAGGTGAGATTATTTTTGAAAGACCGGGTATAGTTGGGATTATTTTGGGTAATTTTTCCTAATAATAATAATATTAGTACTCCCTCCGTCCCTTAGTTTTTGCCCTCTTTGAAATGGACACAATTACCAAGGAAAAGAGAGATATGTGACAAGTTGACTAGAATGCCCTTATACTATTACTTTTAGGGGTGGGTGGATTCGGACGGCAAAAAAACAAAAGAAAAAATAAGGGTAGAGCTATTTATACCATAAGGATTTGTACCTCATTTTGTATACCGCAGTGATGCACCAATATTTTGTGTTGGTGTAATGCTAATTTTTGTTTACACACCAACACTTTGTGTCAGTGTGAACCATCAAAATATTGGTGCATATCTTTGGTGTACAAATGAGGTGCAAATTTTTGGGTACATGTAACAAATGTTTGGGTACATTGGCCGGAACACTGTTCATAAGCTTACATTGGCCGGAACACTGTTCATGAGGATTTTAATTTTATAAAATTAAAGGGATAGAGATGCCTTCCAATTTCATTTCTCAAAGTTCTCTCAGACACTGAAGTCGGAATCCCTCTTTCTTGTTGTACTCCGCGTCGACTTCTCAGGTATTTCTTTTTCTATTACGGAGTATAATTTGTAGCTTTATTATTATTATTCCCTATTATTATTATTATTAGGGTACGAAACATGATTTATAGATATTTTTATATGTGATGAATTCTGGGTCGATAATTCCAAAACTGGAATACCACGCTACAGATCCGCTCCAATTTGTTCATTCCTTCTGTAATCTGCACTGCTACTTCTAGGTTTTTAGGAAAAAACAAAAACATTACTGTGTTGTTTTTGTTTTGATTTTTACCTACCTATCAATGTTGGTTTAAATATCCTAATGATTCTTTTGACATTGGATTCCAGTGTAATAGCATGACATCCAAGCCCTATGTTGACCCGTTCGGCCTGGGAGTGATTCTTACACTTTAACCCTCAAAGTAGTAGGTTGGGGGATGGGGTTTTGGGGGGTTAAGAAGGTTAAGAATCACTTTACGTCCCAACGGAGCACCGTATGACCTTCAAATGGACCAATGCCATATTTTGACGTTGGACTCCAATGTCAAACTGTTTATGTATTACTCCCTAAGTTTAAAACAATTATAGTTTAGGTTTGATTCACAGTTCATACATATTAATAATCTCATTAATAGGTATAATGTGTATATAATAATCCCATTACTCCTTGAATAGTAATTGATGTGGTATCTCACAATATAAAAAGAAGAACATATACAAGAAAAGCATTTAACTCTTTTTGAAAATACAAATTAACTACTCCGTAATATTTTAAAACAAAATTACACGCCCTCCATTCCATGAATACTTTTTTATTAACAAAGATTATAGAACTTTCTAGAACATTCTACAGTTTTCATAGAAGTGTTTAGAAGTTTATGGGAGTATGAGGAATCCTCTCCAATAGTCTGGATATGTGAAGTTCTCTAGATTTGCCTAGAACGTTATAGAAGTTTGTAGACTTCCACAAGTGCCATAAGACATGAACTTTTTTCATACACCTCCTGATCAATAAACTTATCTGCTCCATTCATTCTTGAAGTGCACCCGAAAATAGTTTCATGGAAAAGTCTATGCGCAAAAGTATCTAGTTAGTAGTGCATTTGGCCTCTTTCGATATGGTGACGACTGAGGATGATCTGGCCAACCGAATGAACTCTCATGTACTCTTGTAATCTCTTATTTCTCTAAAACCAGAGTGTCCACATTGCATAAGCAAAAGTGGCCGACCATGTGACCCCGTGTACCTCTCACTGGCTTACAATTTTTAATTATCCAAATTTGCGAAGAGACTAAAAACATTATTCCTTGCACAGTACTACTCACTCGATGTTCACAATGCTCTTCGCGCTTGTAGACAGGTCTCTCATAATGTGCAAGATAGTCTTTTGCTCTTTTCCCTAAAAAAATAAGTTATGCAAAGCATCTGGCTTGTCAAAACCTTATAATTAAAGCTAGAACCATAGAAGTAGGTAGTGAACTGTGGAGAAAATCTCAAAAGGATCACTTTGATGGTAAATCTTATTTGCACCAGTGATGCTCTAAATAATCGTCCAAGAAGACCGTAAAGGGTGTGTCTGAGTTAAAGTATGTTGACTGCACTATGAAGTCTCTAACTCTCCTTCACTCTCAACTTACTATGACATGGTATCCTCTTTAGTACGAGATATAACTCATAAAAGAGTTATAAAATACATGGTTTTTCGAGAGCACTTCCTTAAGTGCATGTGCATGTCCATTGCTCTAGTTATTATAATCAGCGTGTCTGAATGCTCCCTCGTCGACGGTTTCCCTCTCAGTGTATTGAATGAACACACAAGCCTCTTCCTGAAACACTCTTACACCTTCCTTTCCTACCTGCACCTTCCTTTGCTGCCCTTACATAGATAGGGCTTTACCTCCGGTTTAAGGATCACTCTATAGTCTTTCTATTGTCATTACAAAGTGTAATGATGCCAGACTCTACTGTGTACTTAGAGCCTTAATCTCATACTACTTCCGTCCTACTGTATTTGTCCAGTTTGTGCTTCCCTCTTTTTGGACTCAATTCATTCACCAAAGGTACAATTTACACTCAGTTTAGTTAGACATTTTCTAATGCAATGATGATGGGTTTTTTCTTCCATTGAGAACTAAATTGGTTCCAAAATACATAGTTAAAGAACAAACTGGGTCCTAAAATGGATGTAATTGCATAGCTTATCAATAACTTGTGTTCTTACCGATCCGAACTAGATATTTCGTGCTTTAAATCACTGCTTCTCTGTTTGCATCCTTTTCAGTTAATCCTCTTCAACACATCGATCAGGGGTCTAATAAATTCAGAGAGAACGGATCCAATGGATGACAAACACCCCAAAAGAGAGGAGCTGTCGCCAGCGCAAGCTGTGTTCGTTGGGGCTCTAGCTCCTGGCGT